CATCTTATGTAAAATGATCAGCTGGCTGGGCATGGTGGCTCACACTTGTAATCCCAACACTTTGGGATGCTAAGGTGGGAGAATCACTTGAGACTAGAAGTTTGAGACCGGCCTGGGCAACATAGGCAGACCTTGTGTCTACACAACATCAAAAATTATCTGTGTATGGTGGCATGTGCCTGTAGTCTCGGCTGCTCGGGAAGCTGAGGTGGAAGGATCACCTGAGCCTGAGGGATTGAGGCTGCAGTGAGCTGTGATTATGCCATTATACTCAGCCTGAGTGACAGAGTGGAACCCTAAATAAATACGTAAATAAATAATGGATTTATTTGAATGATTGGTTTGTGAAAGTACTCCGCTGTATATATTTGTTCTTTTGTATATGCTTATGCCTCTCTGCTTTATGATGTATTTTGATATTTGACTAAAGTTCCAACCTATGATGGCTAACTAAAATGAAAGAATCTAGGTAAAGTTAAATCTTGAAACAGATTTTGCACAGTAACCATAATTTTAATAGTCTTTTCAGCTGCAAGATCTATGTCTGTAACACCAGTTAGCTCATAAATAATTGATGAATAGAGAGATGTCAGTGTGATTTGGAAGTTGTATTGGTTCATATGTGATTTTTCCTAGGTAGTGAAAAATAGAAATAAAACCTTCATCTGGAAGCAGAAAGCTCTTAGCCACACAGGCAGATCCCCCTTCATGTTTAAGAAAGTTAATGAAGTTAAATAAGAGTGCGTACACCTAGCGCTTGTTCCCCAGAAGGGTTTATTTTAAGTATTACATTTTCTCTTGTCCCTTCTTTAATGGCAGCCCCACTGGCTCAGAGCTCCACTTCAGTCTGCTTTGTGACAACATCTAAGCATCATTTCCAGTTAATTTTGTTCATTTCAGATATTCCCCAAGGTAGCTTCCAGCTCTGAGCCACATGCTGGGTTGTCCATCTTTTTCATGAATCGTAGTTACTGTCTTTTTTTTTTTTTAAGATGGAGTCTTGCTCTGTCACCCAGGCTGGATTGCACAATCTTGGCAATCTCGGCTCACTACAGCCTCCACCTTCCAGGTTCAGGTGATTCTCCTTCCTCAGCCTCCTGAGTAGCTGAGACTACAGGTACCTGCCACCACACCCAGCTAAATTTTGTAGTTTTATTAGAGATGGGATTTTACCATGTTGGCCAGGCTGGTCTTGAACTCCCCACTTAAAGCCACCCACCCGCCTTGACCTCCCAAAGTGCTAAGATTACAGGCATGAGCCCTGGTGTCCAGCCTAGTTACTGTCTTTCTTAGTGATCTTGTTACAAAGTTGCATGGGTTTCAAGTAGTTTGCCTCAAACTTGCTTTTCCCATAAATCTTCTCTTTTTGGCTTGTGCTTTTGCAGGAGGGTGGTTTTCATGAGTGGATATATTGTGTTACAGCGTGGATACCTCTGTAATTTGTGACATCTGTATAAAAGCAGTTAACATTAAATTCTTTATTCTCAGCTCATTTAATATTTTAAAATGAAAACACCTGTTCATTGCATAAAAGTAAAGGATGCAGCATTATGGATACTTAATAAGTGTTCCTGAAATCCTCTTCCTTTTCCAGTCTCACTTGCCTAAATAATGCCTACTGTTCATCATGCCTATATTTTTAATATGCATTTACATGTATACATAGATTTTAAATGTGATCCTAGAGAAATTTTACAATGAGACTTTCTTGCCCCTAAACAAACAAAATATCCCCTGGTGTGGACGTGTCATAACTTTTTTTTTTTTTTTTTAAGACAGTCTTGCTCTGTTGTTCAGGCTGGAGTGCAATGGTGCAATCTTGGCTCACTGCAGCCTCTGCCTCCTGGGTTCAAGCGATTCTCCTGCCTCAGCCTTCTGAGTAGCTGGGATTACAGGCATGTGCCACCATGCCTCGCTAATTTTTATGTTTTCAGTAGAGATGGGGTTTCATCATGTTGGCCAGGCTGATCTTGAATTCCCAGCCTCAAGTGATCCACCCGTCTTTGCCTCCCGAAGTGTTGGGATTACAGGCGTGAGCCACCATGCCTGACCCGTGTCATAACTTTTAAAACTATTTTTCCATTGCTTGCTGTTTAGATGGTATTCTAACTTTTTACTATTACAAACATGTTACATTGAACTTCCTTATACTACTTGTTGTTATGAAATAGAGTAAGTGTTGTTGAAATGGAATAGACTTTCATAGGGAGATTATTGGGTCTCAGCTTGTGTTCATTTAAAATGAATAGATATGACCCAATCAATGGCTTTTGAAAAATGATGTAGCAATTTATATTCCCATTTATAAAGTTTAAGACTAATTTAGTTGACTGTAAAATATTATTTTCTTAGATTTTTGATATGTGGCTTGAGGATAACACAAGGTAAAAATGCTGATTGAAATGTTAAGAATGTGGACTTGATCACAACTTTGAGTTTTAACTTTGTTTTTATTTTTTGCTTTAGAATTTGCTTTTTCTTACATTTCTGTATGAGATGGCTAACATTTTTCTTATTTCTGCAAATTTTTATCGAGACATACGTGGCACACAATTAGAAATGTGTAGTTCAATGAATTTTCAGAAACTGAACACACCTATTTAATCAGTTTCCAGACAAACAAAACATTACTAGCCTCCAGAAGTCTCATTCTATCAGAAACTCCCTAAGGTAACCACTGTCCTGATTTATGATACCATTGGTTGGTTTTGCCTGTATTTGAACCATATGTAAATAGACTCATATAGTATATGCTAGTGTACTGTATGTTGCTTTCTTTCCTCAGTGTAAGAAATTTGTGAGGTTCATCTATGTTTTTCCAAGAGGTTTTACATCAGTTATTTTCATTATTGTATAGTATTTCATTGTATAACTGTAATTAGCTTACTTATTCTTTTGTTGATAAGAATTTCATTGTTTCTAATTTTTGACTCTTAGAAATATTACTAATAATACTTTTTCAG